ATGCAAGTAGGCAGTGCACTTTCTTAGAGAAGTGAGGAAACAAACACCTTGATAGACCAACGTGATCTGCTCTTAGAGCATCAGCCCTGGGAAGCAAATATGTTTATTCATTAGTTATTAGGTGACCTAGCATGAGTAGGGAGGGTTTCAGTTAGCACGAGCACAGTTGGGTTACACACATACCTGTGTGTTACAGTGTCACTCATGTAACATCAGCATATAAATTGTCCACCCAGTGGGGATATATTTAGTACTATGATAAAGAAAAGGCAACTGTAGACACCAAATTTTCCTTATGCACATGTCACAAGTTGTTTGTATCTCGGTCCATTTATTTTCTGACCAAGGTGTCTCTAAATCTAGGACGTGGTGACTTAAAACTTGTTAAAACAATAGGTTTACATGAAAAACAAGCTGTATGGGAGCTTTACAGAGCCAGTGGTCTGGGATACAAGGAACTTGGTCAGGACTCAGGTATTTGGAGCTGGAATGCTCTCTCCTTTTTTTTTTTTCTTTCTCTACCTATCTTAAATCAACATACCACACTTTATTCATCCACTCCCTAATGATTAACATTTGAATTTCTTTCCCACTTTCTGAAAGGGAGTCCCTGGAGTTGGAAAGGAGCAAGCGTTAAAACTTATACAGATTGTGAAAGGGCAAAGTTTACTTCAGAGGTAAACAAAAATTACTTTTACTTGTGACGTTAGACTTTTATTCTTGTTGAAATTAATAGTGAATATTACAAAAAGTAGTTTGCTTTCCAAAAAAGGGTTTTTGTATTTTTAAGCTGATTTATATTTTTATTTAAAATCACTTATTTTTATTTATTATGTTTTCCAAAGAAAGGAATAAGAGTATGTGTTCCAAGGCATTCTGTGTTTCTTTCAATATTATTAGCTCACTGCGAACACAAGTAGTAAGATGTCAAATGTGTTTATTTATAACCATGGGCATTTGCCACCAGCTATTTTAGACTATTTTGCCACGAAGTTAAACTAAGTATAACACTGAAGTAATTTTACATTTAAAATTATTTTTCATATAAAGTACTTTGATATTATACTTATTTTCAATTAATGAAACGCTGATGTTGCAAATATTTAATAAGTAACATTTGATCAAAATTTTTGTTTGACTACCCTTTGTTCCATAGCCACATATTTAGTAATACTTTAATTCTAATTAATTTAGACTATTCACTTTGAGGATTCAAGACAATTCAGATACAGAATATATTGAAGTTAACAAACTATGCTATTTAGTTTTGACAGCATGTGAATTATATTTATGTGATAAAAGCACAGTTTATAAAAATTAATATAAATGATATAATAATGTTAGGCAGGAAAATAGATATGAGCGGAGTGACAGTTATAGAATGAGTAAGAAGAAAAGGAGTAAGACACTGGGAAACGTAGAGCAGTCTTGGCCCCCAGTAGATCTGAGATGGTGAGTATATGAAAGGAAACATTAAGTTGTAGGATTTAAAAAGGAATGGCCATGTAAAGAATTTCACATCACTGTACTTTTTCTATAACTCTATAAAGCTCAATAGCTTTAATTTAACTTAATTTAATTTAATAGATTTAAGATTTCAGTAAACCGATTATTATGCCAAAGCTGGGGGGGGGAAGCCATATTTTGGCATGAAGTGAATTAAGGAACCGTTTGACAATTGTGAGGAATGATACAAAGAATGAAAAGCAAGCAAATACAGTACTTGGCTAACTACAAATCACTCTTACTAAAACAGTTGCAGCAAATCGGTACTTTTGGCAACATTTCATTAAATATTGTCGTAACACTTGAAAACAGTGAAATTACATTTCTTGTTATAGTTATCTGTCATTTTAATTTTGATTAATTTACACTGACTTTCCCCCTAGTTATTTGTAATTTTTGAGGTTCTATTTATTGTTCATCCAGCAGCATTTAATGCTTATTTTCAGCATGTTTGTATTTGGTCTTTGTAGTAAATGAATTAGAAATCCCAAAAGCTAAATAATAACTCTCAGTAACAGATACTACACAACAAACTAAAGAGATAATTTAGCTTTTTATTAGAACTTTAACTTGTGTAAGTAGAAGAACATAATTCAGAATACTTATGTTTTATGATGAATACTATTTAACCATGTTTGTATAAGAGATTAAGAGAATGATAATTTCACATGATCTAGATTTTTTAAAGTTTTTACCCAGGCGTTTAATGTTGTATTTACTGTTATGCTTTACCCTTTACCCTTTTTCTGATGAAGAACAGTGTTTATGTACATGATTATGTTTGCTTTATAACTTGGCATACAAAAAAGAGATCAAAACACATGTATACAAATCATTCTCCTTACTTTTTTCTGCCTAATTTAAGATTCCTTTAAAAAAAAAGCTGGATGATTATGAATACACACAACCATTTCTCTTCTCCCTTTCCCTTTCCCTCCACCCGCTCCAACCTCCTCTCCCCCCCTCCCTCTCTCTCTCTGACTCTACCCTGTTGAAATTCTGTCCTTAGGGCCACATTTAAAAATTGAGGGTTTTCCCAGGCTGAATCAGCAACTTAATCTGCCACCAAAGGGAAAATAAGTAGGCAGGTGGAAGGGAACAGAATAGTCTGATATTTGAGAACATGGCATTTTTGGTGACCTTTCATTTTCATATTTTCTCTTGTTAAACCATTTTCTTTTAAAGGTTTACTCAGTGGAATGAAAAATCTTGTTACTCTAATCCCCAACCGCTGGTTAATAAAAAACCAGCTCATTGCTCTGTGTGTTCCCATCCAGGTAAGCAGACATAAAAAATGACATCTCTAAAGTATTAGTGTCTGATACCCACGTTTTCATCTTTGTTCTTATAGACTTTTACATGCCTGTCTTCCTCACTAGATTGGGAATCCTGAATCAGCAGTAGTTTTACATATACATTGGCACTCAATAAATGTTAATTGAATGAAATAATGTTAGGTACATATAGGATAAGAGCAGTTTCAAACTGTGATACCAAATTACTTTGATCTTAAAATTATATAAAATCCATTTTAAGAAAAATGCTGATGAGTTTTAGGAGAAAATGGAACTGAAATCATTTGTATTCATGTCAGTGATATCTTTGTATATTTAAATGATTCTTAATTGTCCTATAGTGCATTTTATTGTGTATGAAGATAGTCACTTAAAACTAATTTCTAATACATGTTCATTATTATTGAAAATACTTGTTTCCTCTTCATTTGTCCTGGTAAAAAAAAAGATGCCACTGACATATACTAGATTAGAAAGACTGTTCACTCCCAGGACAGATTAGGAGATCATTTTAGCTCATCGTTTAAAAGAAATTCTCCTTTATTTGTCTTAGTATGTGTTCATTAACATTGGTAAGTTATAAATGAAATCATAGGAGAAATAAATATATTTTAAATAAGATTCCATTCTATGGTTTTCCTATGCAAATTGTTTCAGCATATCAATTTAAATTATTGAAATCATTTACACTTAGTATTTGTAAGAACTGTGAATACTAACTTAAGTACAGTACATAATGTCAGCCATTCCATAGTTTTTGATAACCTTATAAATGATGATCTTAGGTCATATCAGTTGTGAATGTTTTTCTGTATTCTCAAAACAGTGCTGAAGGTGATTATGCTCTACTTTTAAAAGGAACTGGGGTACCATACCCATACCACAATCATAATTTGATCATGCTAAGCATAGTTAAAAATAGCAATACAGGTAACTGAGAGCTAGACAGTAGCAGAGATAACTAATTGCTATATTCCTTTATTCCCATTAAAGAAAGCATTTAATGAATTTCTATTAAGTAAATAATCTTTTTTAATACTGGTAATTGCATCCTACTTTTCTTGTATGTAGCTATCAAATAAACCACAAAGTTTTCCATTGTTGATTATTATATATGTATCATTTCAAGTTAGAAATGAACACTTTCTCTGTCAGAAGAGTAATTTTCAGAAAAAAAATAGTATGATAATAATAGCTCAGGATCTAACTTATCCAAAGAATTTCTATAGTGTTCATTACTCTATTCAGTCTAAATGTATGGAAACCCTTCTATGTGCTAGGCCCTGTGCTAGGCAGTATTCATTTTTGATAATTTGGGTTAAGGGCAAAAGAAAAAATGTATGTAGAAGATAATTTCTAAAAAGCAGTGAAAATCATACTTCTTTGTGTCTCCATAAAGGTTCACCTAAGGATCATGAACGTAATGGATGCAAATTATGTAAAACTGATCAATACTGTGAACCACATGATTATGAATACTGTTGTCCTTGTGAGTGGCACTGTACAGAATATGATAGACAACTAAATGCAGTAGAGAACAGTATTAAGAAGTAAGTTTTTTTTTTAACTCATTTTTTTCTGGCATGACCTATTTATACATTTGTGGTTGAATTATTTCCAAATAACCTTCTCCCATGTCTAGATTAGTAACATTTAACAAAATCCTTTCCCTGTTTCTGTTCAAAAGTAGGCTATCTCAGAAGACAGTAATTTAATAGTTATTCAAAGAGAAGCTTGATAACTATACAAAGACATTTTTCATTAAATGAGAGGAGATTGGATGAGATAATTTTTGAGTCTGTCTAAATATGCCTGATTGTATTAATACATGTATATAATTTACTTTCAGAAAAGCCTGCAATTGTGAGGGATTCCCATTCTATGAGGTAATAACTAATAATTTAAATGTGTGTGTATTTCAGAAGCTTTTTTTAAAAAGTTTGAAGTCTCAGTGCCTATTTTCTTTTCTCTTGCTAGGTTATTCAAGAATTCCTTTTGAACAAGGATAAATTGGTGAAGACAATCAGGTACCAAAGACCTTATTTATTATTGTTTCAGGTATATGCAAAATAAATTCTTACTTTACGGTATGAAGTTGGATACTAAGAAAACAAAAAGGAATAATCACTTTGACTGATCTGAAAGGAGATTTAAAATAGACAGCTATTTAAAAAATGCATAAATAAAAAAAATAGACAGCTATTGATTGCCCATAAATTTTTTATCATACATTTCTCATACATCCTATCATTCCTTTGCCACACAGCAACCACACTTTGTAGACGTAAGACAAATTACAACTATACTGTTCTTCAGAAGACACCTTAAATCCCATGTACAGATATATTGTATACAGACATATGCTGGGAAAGTGTTGCTAATAACCAGAGACTGTTAGGATCAGGTATCTCATTATGAAAGGCAGTATAGTTTACAAGAGCACTGAGATTAGTAATGAGTGATATAAATTTAAATTTGGACAGTCTGTTACTTTGTGACCATCAAAATAGATATGTGTTATCCTCAAAATAGAAATAATATTAGTTATGACATCATGTAAGGATTATCATAAAATAATATTCCAAAAGCTTCTGTAATATACATACATTTAAATGAGATTTATATTAACCTCTAATACAGTGTCTAGAGAAACAGTGGATCAATAAATTGTAATGACTTATTGCTTATCCTTACAAACAACAGAAACAATAATCGCAACCATATTTATTGAAGTTGAAATTTGCTATTATATTTAACACATTACATATAATCTCACTTAATCTTTGAGCTGGGTTATATTTTACAGATGGAAAACCCTAAGCTAAGAGAGGCCAAGAAATTTATACACCATTTAGGAAATTTCATACTGGCATTTAAACTGAGAACCCTCATACTTAATCATCATATAATAGTGCCTCTTTTGTTCTTTCTGGGAATATTCTCATTAATACTACTTAAATGTTAATTCTGAAGGAAAAATAATGTCCCCTGAGAATGCTGTTTGTCTCCAAGAGATAGTAACATCTTGTTTTATTTTTATTACATCTCCAGAGATATACTCTTGAAAAAATGGAGTGGCCCAATCCCTATGCATGTGAGAAGCTTCTGGTGCTTTTGACCCACTATGACATGATAGAAAGGAAGCACGGCAGAAGGAACTCTTACCAACTACAGCCAGTTCGGTAATGTAAAGAATTGTATGAAGAAGTCTCTGTGTTTCAAGTTAAATATCTTATAATCTTATAAACATTCTTCTTCTTAATATCTTTAATATCAGGGTATACAGCTCTTTGTTTTCTAAAGATGAAGGAAGGGTCTATTGGAATACTAAAAGTTTATTCAGGGTTTACAGTCAACATAACATGGTAAGTTAATGCTTTGATACACTTGTCAGCTTTAAATACATAGTAATAATAGGTTGTTAAAAGAAATAAATACAAAGTATAGCCAGGCTTAACCAGACAGCTAATTCAATGGACCAGGAAGGGAACAAAAATGTACTGAGTGGAGTGAATAAACTAAGAATTGGTGAATCTCAATAAAGGGTATATGAGTATTCATTGTCTAGGCCTTATAACTATTCCAAAGGTTTGAACATTTTCAAACTAAAAAGTTTGGGGAAGGTATCAAAGAAAAAAGATAAACTACAAAGCAATGACAATATTATTCCACACATCTTTCAAGACAGTAATAGAAGCCAGAAGATGATAATATTTCAAAGCTTTGAGTAGAAATAATTGGCAACCTAGACATTATTAAGACATTATTTACTGGTTGGTAAGGCATTTTCAGAAATATGAAGACTAAGAGTTTGTCATTCACAAACCTTCATTAAAAGCACCGTTAAGGAATGTACTTCAGCAAGTAGAAAAATGAATCCTTTGGGAAGATGTGAATAATAAGAAGCAGTGGTCAGCCTAGAAAGCAGTAAAACATATTTAGCTAATTTAATAAACTGGAAAAAATATGTATATAAATATCTGCATAATGTTTAATGATTAATATGTGATAATAAAAAACTAAAACTCCGAAAGTATGCATACAAACATTTAAGGGTAACCACTAAAACATTAGAAATACAATCTCTATCTTCCAAACCAATGTCTAAAAAATTGGAAGATAACACTATCAAACCAAAAGAATACAGGAAAGAAGAAGGGGGGAGAAAAGTAGACTAGAAAAGACAAAATAAGATGTATGAATGAGTCCAGCTAAATTGGTAATCCCAATAAATGTAAGCGGATTAAGCTCATCTAATTAAATGAATAAATAAACAAAATTCAGCAATACTCTGCTGTTTGTAGGGCATGTGCAGAATAAAATGACACAAATTTTGAAAATAAAGAGATTCAAAAGATTTACCAGACACATATTTATGAAAGTGATAGAGCAAAATTAACAGAAACAAAATAAACTTTAAAACAAAATCTTTATTACGGAAAAGAAGAATACTGAATAACAATGAAAGGAGCAAGCTACTGATAGGATCTAAGAATTATAAATTCTGTGCACCTAACAAATTATCTTCTGGATGAACTAGCTCAAGGAATAACTGCAATAATTCCTTATAATATTTTTAGAATATTCTAAAAATAGAATAAAAATGGAAATTGAATCATGCAATCTGTATATTGAAAATTTCCAAATAACTCATGCAATTGGACCTCATTAGGTGAATTTTTTTTTCAGAATTGTTAAAACCCGGATCAGAAATGGAGTTCGTTGCTTTGAAATAGAATGGGAAAAGCCTGGTATGTATTCATTTTAAGCAAAATTTGTAACATTTGACCATATAAGTTTAACAAATATTGTATATATATGTATATATATAAAAAATAAAGAAGAAATATATCATATGTACTGAGGATCAATTTCATAGTTTACCTGTGCTATTTAAATAGGCTTTGACTAATAGTAAATATGAAAACTTCAAGTGATTTTATTATCATATCTCAAATTATATTTCTTTTATAATTAATGTTTAAGAAAATAATATGGAAATAGTTTTGATTTATATTTCTCAAGAAAATGCTGCTACAAATGGTCTGGTCATTGGATTTCATTGTATAGCTGGGTATAAAATCAAGGTTGCTGAATAGTATGTAGGGTATTCTTCCTCTCTTTTCTTTATTTTTTTTAGTTTTATTGGGAATTTATAATTGTCAAATAACTTTTATTTTGCTATTGACAGATATACAGTGAGCTCTGAATTAGCTCCAAAACTGAAGGCAAGGAAAGCACAGATCATTTAAAATGGAAAATAATCCCAAATTCATTTCTATCTGGCTTTGAAATTAGATTGTGTGGTTATATGCGAACAAGTGGAAGAGTACTTTGTCACTGAAAGTTTAAGTTATAGGTGACTTTGAAGAATGAAATTATAAAGAAGTAGATAAATCATTCTAAACAATAATAGGAAAATAGCTGAACATTTTTGAAAGCTGTTTAGGAACAGTGCCACCAACTGAAATATATTTTGAGAAAAGAAAATGGCATTAACCCAGTTTGGCAATGCATCAAGGGTCCAGAATTGAGGATTAGGTACCCACTTTCACTTACCCTTGTGGGAACTATCCCTTAAGGAAGAAAATGGACCCCAAATAGTTTCACTAAGAAACACTTTGAAGTTCACCTGTTTCCATTGTTTGTACTTGAAACACATCAACGAGTTTGGCTTCTTATGTAGTTGTGCTCTTACATAGAATAAACACAAGAATTTAGTCTACTATTTGTATATGTTAATGTGAATTTACATATGAGCATTCTCATTTTCATTTATCAGTGGCTTGTCAGTCCAGTAAATCTGGGTATATTCTCAAGACATTGTTAACAATCTGGAAAATAGTAATAATTTTGATGACCCTGTTAATTCTGCTCTTTTTAGAAGCCACTGCTAAAAAAAGCTAATGTTGAAGTTTTAAGAAGCTATTCCCATTCTTTATATGGAATTTTAACGCTTAATTATACTAAATGAAAACCAACTAACCTTATCTAAACAGTTATCTTCTAAGCTGCCCCTACCATCTCTGAAACAAGTTCTAATTTAAAAGGAATCTCCTTCTAGCTCTTACGAAGCAGAAAATCAATTCTAGTATCAACAGATTATTAGGATAGAGATAACATAAAGTACAATTTGCCATAAATTATCCATTTGTGAATGACTTTGTTTATGTGGTAAACTTAGTTACCTGAAAAATCAAAATTTTCAAATCTAGTTAAGGCTGTTTTACTGTATTGATAATCTTTTAGAGCATTATGCTATAGAAGATACACATGGTGTTGTTAAAAGAAATAAATACAAAGTATAGCCAGGCTTAACCAGACAGCTAATTCAATGGACCAGGAAGGGAACAAAAATGTACTGAGTGGAGTGAATAAACTAAGAATTGGTGAATCTCAATAAAGTGTATATGAGTATTCATTGTCTAGGCCTTATAACTATTCCAAAGGTTTGAACATTTTCAAACTAAAAAGTTTGTGGAAGGTATCAAAGAAAAAAGATAAACTACAAAGCAATGACAATATTATTCCACACATCTTTCAAGACAGTAATAGAAGCCAGAAGATGATAATATTTCAAAGCTTTGAGTAGAAATAATTGGCAACCTAGACATTATTAAGACATTATTTACTGGTTGGTAAGGCATTTTCAGAAATATGAAGACTAAGAGTTTGTCATTCACAAACCTTCATTAAAAGCACCGTTAAGGAATGTACTTCAGCAAGTAGAAAAATGAATCCTTTGGGAAGATGTGAATAATAAGAAGCAGTGGTCAGCCTAGAAAGCAGTAAAACATATTTAGCTAATTTAATAAACTGGAAAAAATATGTATATAAATATCTGCATAATGTTTAATGATTAATATGTGATAATAAAAAACTAAAACTCCGAAAGTATGCATACAAACATTTAAGGGTAACCACTAAAACATTAGAAATACAATCTCTATCTTCCAAACCAATGTCTAAAAAATTGGAAGATAACACTATCAAACCAAAAGAATACAGGAAAGAAGAAGGGGGGAGAAAAGTAGACTAGAAAAGACAAAATAAGATGTATGAATGAGTCCAGCTAAATTGGTAATCCCAATAAATGTAAGCGGATTAAGCTCATCTAATTAAATGAATAAATAAACAAAATTCAGCAATACTCTGCTGTTTGTAGGGCATGTGCAGAATAAAATGACACAAATTTTGAAAATAAAGAGATTCAAAAGATTTACCAGACACATATTTATGAAAGTGATAGAGCAAAATTAACAGAAACAAAATAAACTTTAAAACAAAATCTTTATTACGGAAAAGAAGAATACTGAATAACAATGAAAGGAGCAAGCTACTGATAGGATCTAAGAATTATAAATTCTGTGCACCTAACAAATTATCTTCTGGATGAACTAGCTCAAGGAATAACTGCAATAATTCCTTATAATATTTTTAGAATATTCTAAAAATAGAATAAAAATGGAAATTGAATTATGCAATCTGTATATTGAAAATTTCCAAATAACTCATGCAATTGGACCTCATTAGGTGAATTTTTTTTTCAGAATTGTTAAAACCCGGATCAGAAATGGAGTTCGTTGCTTTGAAATAGAATGGGAAAAGCCTGGTATGTATTCATTTTAAGCAAAATTTGTAACATTTGACCATATAAGTTTAACAAATATTGTATATATATGTATATATATAAAAAATAAAGAAGAAATATATCATATGTACTGAGGATCAATTTCATAGTTTACCTGTGCTATTTAAATAGGCTTTGACTAATAGTAAATATGAAAACTTCAAGTGATTTTATTATCATATCTCAAATTATATTTCTTTTATAATTAATGTTTAAGAAAATAATATGGAAATAGTTTTGATTTATATTTCTCAAGAAAATGCTGCTACAAATGGTCTGGTCATTGGATTTCATTGTATAGCTGGGTATAAAATCAAGGTTGCTGAATAGTATGTAGGGTATTCTTCCTCTCTTTTCTTTATTTTTTTTAGTTTTATTGGGAATTTATAATTGTCAAATAACTTTTATTTTGCTATTGACAGATATACAGTGAGCTCTGAATTAGCTCCAAAACTGAAGGCAAGGAAAGCACAGATCATTTAAAATGGAAAATAATCCCAAATTCATTTCTATCTGGCTTTGAAATTAGATTGTGTGGTTATATGCGAACAAGTGGAAGAGTACTTTGTCACTGAAAGTTTAAGTTATAGGTGACTTTGAAGAATGAAATTATAAAGAAGTAGATAAATCATTCTAAACAATAATAGGAAAATAGCTGAACATTTTTGAAAGCTGTTTAGGAACAGTGCCACCAACTGAAATATATTTTGAGAAAAGAAAATGGCATTAACCCAGTTTGGCAATGCATCAAGGGTCCAGAATTGAGGATTAGGTACCCACTTTCACTTACCCTTGTGGGAACTATCCCTTAAGGAAGAAAATGGACCCCAAATAGTTTCACTAAGAAACACTTTGAAGTTCACCTGTTTCCATTGTTTGTACTTGAAACACATCAACGAGTTTGGCTTCTTATGTAGTTGTGCTCTTACATAGAATAAACACAAGAATTTAGTCTACTATTTGTATATGTTAATGTGAATTTACATATGAGCATTCTCATTTTCATTTATCAGTGGCTTGTCAGTCCAGTAAATCTGGGTATATTCTCAAGACATTGTTAACAATCTGGAAAATAGTAATAATTTTGATGACCCTGTTAATTCTGCTCTTTTTAGAAGCCACTGCTAAAAAAAGCTAATGTTGAAGTTTTAAGAAGCTATTCCCATTCTTTATATGGAATTTTAACGCTTAATTATACTAAATGAAAACCAACTAACCTTATCTAAACAGTTATCTTCTAAGCTGCCCCTACCATCTCTGAAACAAGTTCTAATTTAAAAGGAATCTCCTTCTAGCTCTTACGAAGCAGAAAATCAATTCTAGTATCAACAGATTATTAGGATAGAGATAACATAAAGTACAATTTGCCATAAATTATCCATTTGTGAATGACTTTGTTTATGTGGTAAACTTAGTTACCTGAAAAATCAAAATTTTCAAATCTAGTTAAGGCTGTTTTACTGTATTGATAATCTTTTAGAGCATTATGCTATAGAAGATACACATGGAGAACTGGTTCTACAAACAACAGAAAGAGAATCATTGTTTGAAGCAGCTTATCCTGAGATTGTTGCTGTTTACCAAAAACAAAACTTAGAAATTAAAGGGAAGAAACAGAAGAGTAAGTGTTTCATTTGAGAGCTATTTATACCACATTCAAAAATATTATAGAAGAGTTACCTCTCTGTTTAAATCGATCTTGTCTAAAGTTCGCTGAGAGCTCTATAAAATCAAGAGTAAGGATTATATTCTTGCTTCTTTGTCCTGGCACTCTTCTTTTAAAGCTAAAAGCCAAGAGTAAACTATTCTGCTCTGTGTCTGCTTACTTTACAAAATGTTAATAATAGTAATGAGACTAGCTGCTTAGTGAACAACTAGTATATATAACATATTTTGTATTATAAATACATTTTCTTTGTTTCCCAGAATTTGGTAAGGAAAACAATTTGATTATGACATTGTGACATTGTTTACAAAAGAAAATAATTTATAGTATTTTGTTATAGTTATTTATCATAGAGTTTTCATGAATGCACTGAGACAACACAAAAAGTGCTCATGCAGAAAATCCCTGATCTGAACTCTTAGTTTGTTTACCCGAGTTAAGGAAAATAAAATCGATTTTAATAGTATTCTTTTTTTTTTCTTTTCAGATATGAAAATTAAACCTAAAGGAAACAATTTGCTAGAATCAGATGATATGATGTATTTTCAGTCACACATGAGTTTAAAACCCACATGTGAAATCTTTTCTAAGCAGAATTCCAAGTTAAATTTGGAAATTTTTCCTGATTCTCCATCACCCCAGGAATCTAAAGCTGTGTTGTCGAATAGCTTGCTTTTACCTGAAGACATTCCCTGTGTGAATATACAACGGTTAATGTCTCCAAGACCTTTGGCTATGCAGCAAATTAAAACTGTCAGTAAATCTCTAATCTCAGAATCTAGTCAAACCAATACCTCATCCCATAATACAGCAGCGATTGCTGATCTACACTTGAGCACCATTGACTGGGAAGGTACTTCTTTTAGTAAATCTCCAGCTATCCCAAGGAACACTTTCCCTCATGATTTAAAATCAGAATTTGAAACAGCCATCCCTGATAACTTTAAAAATAACCCAGAACAATTGTCAGGTGAATCAAAATGGTGCACCACAAACATTAATAAAGTATTGGATCGGGATCTTCAAAAGACTAATTCTGAAGAACATCTACTTTCTGGCATCACTGATTTACACCTTCAGGATTTGCCTTTAAAGGAACGAATACATGTGAAACCATTATGTCTTCAGGATAATGTACAAGCAGATGTTGACCTAAAAACTCTGTCCCTACTTACCGCAGAAGAATCTTGTATTACTAACAGTAGTTCTGATGGTCAGTCACATCTCTCAAAGGATCTTCCAGGAGTTCATTTGCAAAATGAATCTAGAAACTCTGAAGTTCTAAAAGGAGACCAGCTGTTTCAGAATTATAAAGTGAATACTTATATACCTTTTTCTGTCAAGAACCCAATAGTAAAAACCCCCAGCATTGGAATGGGACCATCAAATACTTCTTTAAATCATAGTAGAAAAGTTGATGTGCAAACTGCTCAGAAAATTGTAATGAAGACAAGCATTTGCCTCGATAGACATTCCTCTGAAGAAAAAAGTGTCCCCGTATTGGAGAAAGCTAAGTGTTCAACTCAGAAAATGAAGCAGAGCTCTTGGAAGCATTACGCAGCCCGATTCAAGAAAAATGACACCAACAAATTGAGTAACTCGAAGATACATGTTAAAGAAACTGAACAGTGTGTTCAGGCACATAAAACAGATGGAAATGAAGAAAAGTGTTACCCAGATGCAGCAAAAGGTTCTCTGAGGTTTCTGCAGCATCATAACGGAAAAGATGACTCTAATAATTACTTAGATAGTCCCCTCCCTTTGTGCCAGAGATTAAAGCTAAGGTTTCAAAACACTTGAAATGAAACTTAATATATTTAAGTATATGTTATTATTTTAGTACTGTCGGCCTTAACAAAGGCAGAGGGAAGATATCTAGTTAATGGTTAGTAGAAAAATGTAATGTAGTTCTAAATCTCATGGGACACTTTTGCCACTTTAATTAAAATTGTAGTTTAAAAATATTACCTAAAACTGCAGTTTTAAAGGATGATTCTTGTGAAAACTTAAGAAAATATGTGTTTTAAAAATATTCTTTTGCTGTTTTTCGTATCTCTATTGATTCTTCTTTAGTTGTAGCTTTAAAGTGTTAGTACAGTTCTAGATAGAATAAATCCTTTGGCACATTTTTACTCATTTCTTCTACAAGCTTCTAAAGTACTTGTTTATATTACAGCTTGTTCCCAAGAGTATAACTTTTTGTGATTGTCTACACTCTCACAATGTTTTCTATGGTGCCTTTCCTGCCAGTTATATTTTCTTTTAATGTGAAGATACTTTTAAGTATGCTCTTCCAGTTTGATGACATTATTCTCTTTTGTGAGGGACCAAGATGGAAAAAGAGGCAGCTGATCAATGTATGTAATAAAAATGATGGTTGTAATAGCTGAACAAACTGAGGAAAGCAACTCCTTACATATCCCCAGAAGTTCACAGGCATGCCCAGTGGAAGACTTGGAAGATAGAAGGCATAACCAGATGAAAATTAGAAATTTCCAGAGAATCACATAATTAATTAATGGTATGGGATTTCTTGCTTCCTAATGCCCTGGTTTTTCTGTTTTCTTTTTCTCTTATAGCACATTTTTCTTTTCCTTTTTAAAATATGAATCTATATAATATTGACTTCAATACCTCCAAATATTAAGTTGTGTACTCATTTATTTAGCACTCAAAAAGTCTGGAAGCAACCAGATTGGAAAGGAAAAGGTAAAACTGTCACTCTTTGCAGATGACAGATCTTCTATATACAGAATTCTAAGAAAGCCATTAAAAACTATTAGAACTGATAAATGAATTCAGCAAGGTTGCAGGATACAAGATCAACGTACAAACATCAGTTGTATTTCTAAGCATCCACGGTGAATAATACCAAATGAAATGAAGAAAATTCCATCTACAACATCAAAAAGAATAAAATTAAATAAATATAACAAAATAAATGCAATTTATACTCTAAAAACTATATTGTTTAAGGAAAATAAACAGATACCCCATGTTCATGGATTAAAAGACTTGATATTAAGATGGCAATACTCCCCAAATTTATAGATTCAATGCAATCCTCATCAAGTCCAGCTGATTTCTTTGCAGAAATTGACAAGCTGATTCTAACATTCATATGAACATTTAAAACAGAATAGACAAAGCAAAGCAATCTAAAAAAAATTGGAGGTCTCACCCTTCCTTTTTCTGATTTCAAAACTTACTAGAAAGCTACAGTAATGAAGAATATTGTAATGGCATAAAGGTAGATATATAGATCAATGGGATAGAATTAAGGGTCCAGCAATATGTCCTCACATTTATGTTCAATTGGTTTTCAACTAGAGTACCAAAACAATTCATGTGGGGAAATACTAGTCTTTCAGCAGAAGCTACTGGCATAACTGGATGTCCACATGCGAGAAGATGGAAGTCTTATCCCAACCTCTTACAATATATAAAATTTAGCTCAAAATGTACCAAAGACCTAAATGTAAGAGCTAAAACTATAAAATTCTTAGAAAAAAAACAGACATAATCTTTGTGACTTTGGACTAAGTAAGGACTTCTTAAATAGACAAGTAGTGATTCTGTCACATCTTACTATGCTGATGGACAGTGACTGTAATGGGTATGTGGTGGGGACTTGATAATAGGGGGAGTCTAGTAACCATAATGTTCATGTAATTGTACATTAATGATAGCAAAATAAAAATTAAAATAAATAAATTAAGAAAAAATACGACACTGAAAGCTCAGACAAGAAGAAAAAAATAGATGAGCTACATCAAAAGTAAAAAATTTTATGTTTCAGAGGACTCAAGAAAATGAACAGCAAAAATCCACAAAATTGGAGAATATATTTTTAAATTATAAACATGATAAGGAACTTTGATCCATAATGACTTGTAAAAAGCTTACACCTCAGTAATCAAAAGACAAATAACTTAAAAGTGGGTAAATTCTGAAAGGACATTTCTGCAAAGAAGATACACAAATAGCCATACACAAAAACATGAAAAAATTCTCAAGATCATTAATTTATCAAAAATGCAAATCATAACCACAATGAGACACCACTTCACCCTTAATAGGATAACTAGAATAAAAAAGATAACAAGTGTTGGTGAGGATGTGGAGAAATTGGAACCCTCATAACCTGCTGGTCGAGATGTAGAATGTACAGCCACTTTGGAAAAAGTACAGTGGTTCCTCAAATGGTTAAATATAGTTACCATATGATCCAGCAAATGCACTCCCTGGCATGTGTCTAAGAGAAGTTAAACCATACATCCACATGAGGGCACACAAATGTCTGTAGCAGCATTATTCATAAAAGCTCAAAAAGAATCAACCTGAATGCCCATCAACTGATGAATGGATAAACAAAATGTGTATCAAAACATGGAATATCAGCAATAAAGAAATGAAGTATGAATACATATTGCAACATGATGGCCCTTGAAAACATGCTCAGTGAAAGAGGCCATTCACAAAAGACCACATATATGATTCAATTTCTGTAAAACATTCCAAATAGGCAAATGTATAATCTGTAGAAACAGGAGAGTCATGGTTGTTAAGGGCTTGGGAAGAAGGTAGGGAGGTAGAAGGGAAATGTCTGCTAATGGGATGGTTTGGGAGGGAGGGAGTAGATGATAGAAATACTCTAAAATTGATCGCGGTGATTGTTCAAAACTGAATATACTAGAACCATTGAATTGAATTGTGCAATTTAAGTGGATAAATGCTATGGTATGTGAATTATAGCTTAATAAAGCTATTTTAAAAACAAAACTGTTAAGTGTATAGTATTTTTTTAATATGTAAAGTATATAGTATTTAACCTCATTCCCACATATGCAACACCATTATTTCATAGTTAGGAAACAAGTCCAGAAAAATGAAGAGATTTGTCCAAGACTGGAGATGAAATTTTGTTTTACTAATCTAGTGCTTATTACATTATGCCATGTTGTAAATATAGACTAAAATTTAGAGTACTTTTGAATTTTTGTGCTTTTTCTGCAGTTACAATTTTTTGTTTTGAAAATTCCACTGAAGATATATAAAATGCTCTGAGTCAAGTTCTATGTTTTAGAAAAGTGTCATGTTTGCAGAGACATATATAAAATCCTTGTGAGCAAGGCGATTCCTAAGTAAAGGTAATCAATCCTCTGCTTCTCAAAATATATATAGTTTAATCCGTGGTTATTTGTGTAAGTGCTACTTACTTTTTAAGGTAATACTTTCTTGTGGTTAATAAAGGTGAAATAGTACACAAAATATAGAGTGAAAAATTCAATCTCCTTTCTATCCTTAATGCCTGGACTCCAATTCTTACGTTTAGAGGAAAACGTAGTTCCTAATTTCTTACAGATCTGAAGGTGTTCAGAACCAATAAACTAATGTAGCTTAGAAATTATTCCATGTCAGTACATATATGGGCTATCTTATTCTAATAGCTTCTATGTCCCTGTATATCTTTACAAGGTGCCTAGAGACCTATAATAGATGTGACTGTCATGTTTGATTTTAACTTGATAAATGTACATTTTTAAACATTTTTGATTTCCTAATTTAAGACCAAATAAATTATTGAAAGTCAGATATATGAACTAACTCACTTGAGTGCTTCAACTCATTCTTGATTTTGCTGTAAGCTTCCTCTTTTAAAAATTTCCCAAATGTCCTAAACAGTTTAGAATAATTAATAAAATGCATTTACTGTGCATATGAAAAAAATTAATTTACTTTGAAGACCTAACATCAGAAAAAGTTGACAATATGGCTCTAAGAGTGGCATTTCTTTGGTAAAATCACAGTTTAGGGTTTGCTCAGTTTTGAGCTAGCACCCATGTATTTTTTTAGTAATCTCAATTTTAAATGCCCATGTCATGTAAATTTTAAGCTTTTTCAAGGAACTTCAGACATTCATTGGACCTTACTGCTTGGATACTGTATCCAGTACTACGTATTGAAGAGGATGAGAGTGAAATTTTACTTTGGAGTAATTTGATTTTGTTTTGAATTCCTGATTTCACACACAGAGCTATTATCTTGATTTACATTGTCAAAACTATACTAAAAGACTCAATTTCTTCGTATTGCTGATTTTATTTTCTTTATTAAGGTATAATTTGATGCAATTAAGTACACTCATTCTAAGTGTAAAGTTTGATGAATTTTGGTAATTTGATACAATTGTATAACTTCTACCACAATTTAGATAAAGTCCCAACACCCTAAAGTTTTCTAGTGCTCCTCTGAAATTAATCCACTCCCAAACTTTGATCCCAGACAACCACTGATATGCTTTTTTTCACTATGTTTTGCCTTTTCTAGAATTTTTATAAATGGGACCATACAGTATATAGTATTTGTGCTTGACCTTCTACTTAGCACATGTTTAAAGGCATATCTATCTGTGTTTATTAATCTTTTCTTCCTTTTCTTGCAGAATAGAATGACATAGTATTAATATATCATTTTTTTATCCATCAGTTGAGGAAAATGTTTTCACATTTTGGTTATTATGAATAATGTAGCCATAACCATTCAGATACGGCCTTTAGGTGGACACATTTTCATTTCTCTAGGATGAATAAATATCTAGGAGTGAGATTGCTGGTCAATATTATCAGCATGTGTTCATTTTTTTAAGATACTGCCACACTCTTTTCCAAAGGGGCGGAGCTATTTTGTGTTCCCACCAGCGTTATGTGCAAGTTTCAATTCTGGTACATCATCACCAAAACCTAGTATTGTCAACCTTTCTCACTTTAGCCATTCTAGTAAGTATGCTGTGGTATCTCGTTGTGACTATATTTGCATTTTCCTGATAAATGGTGACACTGAGTATCTTAAGTGGATATCTACTTTTGTGAAATTCCAGTTTTGAGGGGCCAATTTTTAAATTGGGTGCCTTTTCTTGTTACTAAATTTTAAGTGTTCTTTATATTTTTCTACACAGGAGGCTTTTGTTAGATACGTGTTTTGTGCCAGAGTCTGACTTATCTTCATTTGAACTAAGTTTTTCAAAGAGCAAAACACTTTCAATTTCTTTGTCTATTTTATGAATTTTTGTGTTCATGGGCTATTTAAGATACATTTGTCTAACCCTGTGTCTCAACTAATTTTTCTATTTTCTTCTACAGGTTTAATGGTTTTACCTCTTATATGTGGATTTATGCTTTATTTCAAGTTAGTTTTTGTATATGATGTGAGGTAAAGATTGAGAAACACTTTTTCCCATACAAATAGCGAATTCTTCCCCCCACAATTTATCTTTCCTCACTGAATTACCTTGGCTCTTTTTGTTGAAAATCCATTGGTTGTGTAAGCATCCATCTGTTGCTGAACTCCATTCTTTCCACCAATCCCATATGTCTCCAGTACCACATGGTCTTGATTACTGTAGCTGCAAGTAAGTGTTGAAATCAAGTATTTTATCTTTGTTTATTGTCTGTATTTTCTTGTCAAGGTCACCAATTGGTCTCCATGTTACTAAAGTCAATGAACACTTTACAGATTAAATTTACCTTTCTGTAGAATTTGCAATTATCAAACTTACCTCTTGAAAGTTTCTGTTCTCTTGTTTTTCATGTAAAAACTGCCTCTTGGTTTATTTCCTACCTCCTTTGACTATAATTTTAAACTCTTCACAAGCTTAAATCTTCATACTCCTT